AAAAAACAAAAGGTGTGTTTGACACATCTAGTATTTGGGAGGGGAAGGGGACTCTCCCATAAATTATAGAAGACCGCTCTTCTATCATTTTTTTATGAAAGATAGGTCTTACAAAAATGAACCCATTTTAACACTAAAAAAAGGTTGTATGGAAGGTCGTCTTTCTACTTTACAGCTTCCACACTGTAATATCAAACATTGAAATGGGACATTTAACTCCACCTCTAGAAACTTTCACTTATCAAACACGTCCAAAAGAATTGGGATTATGTCCTTTTGAGTAATAACAACAAAATTTTGGACAATTTCGTTATAATGGATCTTAAATGCGATCCATACGTAAATTTTGTTTTTTTAATATGGTGTGGGAATTCTGGGAGCATGGGATATGGTGTGGGAATTATGAGAGCGTTGAATAATAGACAAAAACATCAATTTTTTAAAATATTTAGAGAGAAATATTGGCTTCCTCCTTTAGAGATATGCTCCAAAATATTTCACATTCTCAATTTAAGTCATCTATTGAATCAATTCCCCTACTTAAACAACATAGCATTACTGATTTTGCACATATTGAATCCCATTCTTAATCAATTCCCAGAACCCAAAGCCAAATCACCAGTAACCTTAATTTCCAATGCAATATCGCACAGTTATCACTCGCATAGAGGAGGCTTCTTGAACAACAAGGCTGATGGTGTTGGAGTTTGTGGCCTTTAAAGGACTTGAGAGAATGTAAAAATAAATATTTTATGGTGGATGTTCACACTCCAATGGGAGTGATGGTTAACTAACTGAGGTTGAGGGGTTTATGACCCAAGGTTTGTCCAAAACCCTTACTCATAGGCATAAGCACTACCGTTGAGGGTTTCAGTGGGTCATCCCTTGTTGAGATCGGAGAGATTCCCAAGGATGATGAAGAGAGCCAGGAAGCCACATGGATTTCTATTTGTATTTGCAAGCCAATGAGTAGAAGGGTAAATCCTCAACAACCATCGCACGGCTGTACACATGAAAGTCGGATTTTGCGAAGCAGGCCTATAGAGAGGGGACCTTATGCATGTGCATAAGAGTGTATCCCCTTACACTATAATGATATATGTGTGCGTGAAACCTTATGGACATGACTTGCTCTTGGGGGAAAAGGCAATCCACACACTAGGTTCATAGTTCCACCATTATTGGCCAACTTCGATGGACCAATCATGAGCCCCTGTGATTGACTGTGGATCATGGGTTTTGTTAGGTTGGTTTGAGAAGATGGTTGTGGATCATGAATTCTAACATAGGTGAAGTACTTTACAGATGTCACTTATTCCTTACCCATTGGTCCAAACTGCCTCTAGTTTTGGATTACTTTCATTTCATCATCATTTAGCCTTTTCCCAATTAATTGGGGTCGGCTACATGAATCATGGTTCTCCATTCTGCTCTATTAAAGGTTATATCCTCAGTGAGGCTATAAGTCCCCATATATTTTCGGACTACTTCTAAGCATATCCTTTTGGGCCTACCCCTAGCCTTTTCCAGTCCTTTCACTTGAACTAATTCGCACCGCCTAACAGAGCTGTACTTGGTCAGAGCCACACATGGCCAGCCCATTTAAGTTTACTCTCTCATTTTATCAACTACTGGTGCCACGCCTAAATTCTCTCAAATAGATTCATTGTGAATTCTATCCCTTCTTGTCATGTCACTCATCCATCTCAACATCTCATCTCCGCTATACTCATTCTATGGGTATATTGTTTTTTATCCGCCCAACATTCGTCCCCATAGAGCAAAGTTGGTCTCACCGTTGTCCTATAGAACTTACCCTTCGGCCTCATTGGTATGCGATGATAACATAAAATTCCAATTGCACATCTCCACTTCGCCCACCCAGCTCTAATCATGTGCACGACATCTTCATCAATCTCTCTATTTTCCTAGATTATCGACCCAAGATATCAAAAGTGTGGTCTTTTTTGTACTTCTTGGTTGTCAATCTTAACTACTTCTTCGTCTCTACTTCTATTATTACTAAATTTGCACTCCATATACTCTATCTTAGTCCGACTAATTTTAAAACCTTTGGGTTCTAGTGCATCCCTCCAAAGTTCTAACTTTGTGTTGACGCCATTTCGGGGTCTAGTTTTGCATTACCTATATTTTATAATTTTTGAAATATCAAATATATTGTTTTCCAACCTTATTTATGATTATGTGATCTTTAAATAATTTTTAAAATTTTAGTAAATTTATTTTATGCACAAAAACTCGTAAAAAGGTAATTCTAATATTTCTAAACTTATGAGGACTTTGTGGGACCCACTTGGGGGTGCACGAGCCCAGCCCCAAACGTTGCAGGATCCACATGGGGGTGGATGTGGGCCTCACTATCCCACACGTTTGACCCTTATGAGAGGGATGTCCCATATCCTTTTATGTCTCATTAAGAATTATTTTCTTAAAGAAAATCTTTAATATAAGATTTAGTTGCTAATGAGAATATTTCGACTCTGAATTGATATCTTCCTCTTGACTTTAGATTTCTATTTGGTTTGAAATTCACATTGTAATTGAATTCAGTTTATGAATAAAGTTTTATTTTAGAGTTAAGATCCATAGCTTGTAATAGGCTATATTTTCTGCTTCCACTGTGCAATTTTGGCATTGTAAGTAGAATTTCCCGGTTGTTAATAAAGAAAAAAGAGAAAAACTTTTAATTTACACCCCGAAATCCTACATAGCCACCACATTAAGGAGGGACTTCTATAAACTAAGTTTCTTTTTATGGAAATCGATTCTCTTGTTCAGATTAGGAAAGCCTAACCTTAAATTCTTGAGCACTCATACAAGCCTCAGTCTAACATGGATCGAGTTTCTTTAAGGAGTTGCAAAAGGCATCACTGAGGATGTGGCCCTTGATATAGTGGAATGGCATAACAGAATTCGTGTCAGCAACCCCAAAGAGTTGGGATAATGCTCAGATGATGTTGATGATGATGAGGATAATGTGGTAAAGGGCTTCCTTTTCATGAGACATTATGCAAAGCATTTCACAATCTCTCTTTATGCCGATTATTGCATCAATTCCCCTACTAAGAAACAATGACAGACAAAACATCCTACTCATTGCAGGAAACAATTCCTAATTAATTCCTAAATCCTAACCTAATTTCCATGACCCTATTTTCATGTGCATAACAGCATGCTTGTCTCTGCCATGGTCAAGGCTTCTTGAATAAGTTGGAAAGGCTCCACTCTGTTACATCGGGTTCAAGAGGGTTCTTTGCAGTGAGCACCTCTTTTAGGGTGCGTTTGACTGGAGGAACTTTAGGGAAGCAGAAGATCCCCGTTCTGCCAGCTGTGCATCCTGCATTGCTATGGGGGAGTGGAAGCATAACTTGGAAGAGCAGCCTTTCATGCTGCTGTAAAAACAGCATCATTTTAGGAAGCTGCCCCTTCCATGCTAAATGATGGAAGAGGTGGATTCCACCTTGGTGGAAGAACACGCCCTTATGGAAGTAGATTCTTGATTGGGTTTGGAAACCATAACCCTAATTCTTAAAGTGTGCCTACCAACCATGTTGGAGCGTGGAGTTTTAGGAAGCATTCTCTTGTTGCTCATGGGCTTCCTTTTGGTGAGATATGTTAAACATTTATCTCTATACAAGTCAACTTTTGGAATAGTTATTAAGCAGTGCAAAATGCATTCTCATTATGCAGAAACCCACTCATAAGCATCTCCGAGTAACCTTACCTTAAATTCCATTATTGTAGTTTCTAGTATGCATGCTTGTCTCTACCATGGCCAAAGGCTTCTTAAGCAAGTTGCAGAAAAACCACTCTATAGCCATGGTTTTAAGAGACTTATGTCCACTATGCATTTTTTTATAAAACCAGGTTCTTGGACGTCTTTCAAAACTCTAACCCAGCTTATCATAGTGTGTGCAGGCTTTTGTCCACCATGAAGGAGCTGCATAAGATATTCTTCTGTTGTGCATAGGGTTACATTTAGTACCTGTTGTAGGACATTTCACAGTAAAGCCATTGCAAAAAGGTATTCATCAAATAAAAATTCATTGCCCTCCCAATTAAGAAAGATCCTTGTTTGAACTATCTTGCTTCCTTACAATTAACTTTTACCAAAGACAGAGCAAAACAAAATATCACATGCACCTATTTAAACTAATTTTGTAAGTGGTGTCAGTGACAAACAACTAGTTATACTGTTCCATTGGTCACTGTTCTAGAGGTCATAGATTCACACAAATTTTGATGGTGATTTTGTCAGATATGGTATTCTATTGATCAGTACCATCCATCAAGAAGAAGTGGACTACTAGTTCAAACTACAAATAAGCTCTTACAACTTAACACAGGGGGGATGATGAGAACAGCAGGGGGTGGTGAGGCGATAGGGATGTTACTACCCATGGATTGTCATTCAGGTAATGTCATTGTAGTTCTCACACACTCTTCTTTTCTTTTCTTGTAATGAGATGAATTAACTTCTGAACCAATCAAAAAGAAAAGGTTTCAAACAAGCAAAGTCAAATAAACTTCAATACTGAAGATGGAAAGAGAAGAAAATAGGACCAATCACAAAAGGTTGCCAATACTCTTGATAGACAGAATTTCACCTCAAACGTACCTTTAAAATGCTGAATAACGTAGATACACACATTGTAACATGTAAGAGATGACTACAGCAATGAACTATAAGTAAACTAAAGAAAGTCACCATGGTATAAAATTTCTTGAAGGTCAAATTTTCACCAAATACCAGCCCTAAGAGAATAAAATATAACTCAATTAATTTATTAAAAGTAAGAACAAAAAACAAATTTATCCATATTGCTAGACATTCTTTGGAAAGTAGTAAACTATTAACAATATGTGGATTCAAGGGGATCTGAATATCAAACCGATCACACCAAAGAAACTCATTGCAGTGCACGGTTAGCATTAGATTTTATAAAGAAGTAGAGAAGATGCAAGCTCTTTATACAAACCTTTATTCACATTACAGTTGGACAATGCTCTAAGAACTTTGGTAGCAACACTTGGCTCAAGATTGCTTGCCAGCCATCTAAGAACAATGTTTCTGCAACCATCAATAGTGGAAGAGTGTTGAGGGGCTATGCGTGCCTTATTTAAACTAAAAGATTGAGCATCATTCAACGCAATTTTTGTGGCAGCCTCATTTATAGCATTCTGACAAACTTGGGTGCAACATTCCTTCACTGAATCAACCCTCTTGCAAGCAGCCAAGAGCTTAGACAAATCCACCAAACTCTCAAACTCATTCACATCCTTCACAGGACAGGAGCCTTCTGTGAGATTTGAAGGATGAATCGAGCATATATTTTGGAGATCTTCATTTGCTCCCTGACTTGCTAAGAATTGTTGAACATCAGACAAGCAGTAATTTGCATGTTTCAAGTCCAAAGCAAGCATGCCTGTGTCTCTACTATAATAACCAATGAGAACATGAAGGGTGGCCTGATATTGAGGGCAACATATAACGTTGGCAAGAAATGGTGCAAAGAAAGCCCAACAATCGATTGCAGTCATACTAATTATACTTGCTCCACCAGTGAAATTCAATGGACAGAGGCCTGCATGAAAGAATTAAGTAAGTTCAACTCTTTGCGCAGTTACTAGCGGATGCTCTTTTCCAAAGTAACAATATTCTCACCTGATAGTACTGGCACGCTGTTGTTTGTATATGGGGTCAATGGTGATGGTGCTAACAGTGGGATGAGAGGGTGAGGGGCGCTGTTTGGGGATCCAACTGAATCTAATGGCATCATTGTCTCTTGGTCATAATTTTCGATATCATCAGCAATTTTTAATGGTTTGGTATGGGTTAAATGTGAGAAACCTGCACATCAAAAGTGTGAGGCGTGTTAAATGTAATCTGAGGATAAAATTCGAGCCTCTAAAGTTGTTAACGTCCAAAACAGGTTAGGGTGCTATGGTCGAATTGCAAAATTTATCTATAAATCAGGAAGCATAAGATGAATTTGAGTCTAGGGGAGTATAGAATAATACGATGAACCATGGAAAACACCAGAGGTCACACTCTCCTTCCATTAACATCCGTTGTCTCATTGTGCACTGACACCAATGGACTGTGGGTATTCCATGACCCATTGGATTACACTGTACTTTCCTTCAAGTTATCCAGAACAGCTCAATCAAATAATTGCATTCTCAATTACAGAGGTCAACTTAAATTCTGTCATAAACCGACGTAATAAAAGAACATTCTAAACAAGGCCTTATACATCAATGACAGAACTTGAGTGAAATCAAATGGACAAGTGAAGTCCTTTCCCTTAGCACAAACAGAAGCCACACAGTCAATCACAACTCACAAAGCCCACTGAGAATAAGAAAGATCACAACTCACAAATAATCCTCGCCAACAACTTTATTGAACTCTCCTAAGCTAGTAGAATGAAAACAACGAAGAGTTAGGAAAAAGCTAGATTTAGGGTCAATGAATAATTGTTTCTTTCCCAAAATTAGATTGCCCAACAACCCCAACCTGAATCACTAACTAACTGGCATGAACGTACAAACCATAAATCATGGGAAACAATGTCCCCCAATTGGGTTTCAAAATAACTACAATCAGAATCCATAAATACTTGAGTTAAAATTGCATGTACAATGACTCGCAGATTTAGGCATCTATGAACAACAGTACTTGATTTCCAGGAATCAATATTCCAAATTAGTTCAGATCAAGATTCTGTGGAGGTCAAAGCAAGATTCAACGTTGATTTAATCGCAGTTCCCTATATCTATGAACTGAGGTACTTGATGTTGTGGATTATGGATTCAAAACCAAAACGAATCAAGATTCATTACATGTGGAATAGAAAATCAAGAGATGCAAAATCAAGATTCAATAAATGTTGGAATCGAGATTTGAAAAAGTTGGGACCGAGATTCCATAAATAATGGCATCGAGATTCCGAAAAGGTTTGAAACGCGATTCCTAAATTAAGGAATCGAGATTCTTGGGTTCAGTGAAGATACCTCGTCGGAATTGGCAAATCGGGGTTCCGAACCAGAATCACGACCTCAGTAGAGAGATTCCGGTAACTATGATCAAGATTATCACATCAGCCCATTTCTTTTGAACATAGAGTATTAAAGCCCTAATTTCAAGTAAAGAGTATATGTGTGAAAATGTCAAACATGGCGCATGTATATAAACAAAGCAGGCATCTGCAAAGCTATGTAGAAGTTTCTAATATGTATTCTTTTGAAATGTTGAGTTTCCAATACATATTGGGACGAGTTTATAGTATTAGTGGTGTCAGCTTCTAGTTTATCACTTTATTGGTATTTTATTGGTATGTTTTTCTAGCTAGTTGATACAAATTTCTGAGAGACGTCCCTGAAATGATCTATTACCGTACAAGGTATTGCTATACCAGAAACATGAAACTCATACTAAAGAGAATGTCATTCACAAAGTTCAAGTTGATTTTGAACTGCTTAGAGCAATCTTAGGCATATCGAGTTAATGACAAGAGATCATTTGCATTTTGAAATAGAAGTTTGGAAGATCTCCCAAAGTATTTGTTAATGGATGCTTTAGAAAACCCCGCTTGGCTGTTCACACTTCTGCAACAGTAAACTAACCACAAGGGCAGCATAATTTTAGCTCAATCTTAGGTTCATCTAGCTTAAGGCTCATCCCACCCATTACACATATTTCAACTCTTGTACTTAAGAACTCGTAAGTGTAATCAAGGGGAATGTCCTCGGCTACATTTACTATATTTCTTCTGAGTCATTATTTTTTTTAACCTATCAAAGAACACATATAGACTCTTACAGAGAAACTCAAACAACTTTGTCAGAGTAGCTAAACCGATCCCAATGAACACAAAACCCAAGTCTTGGTCATCATAACCCTAATAACAAGTTGATGTTTAAACCTAATAACTAGTTGCTATTTGTGGTATGGGGGGAGAGGGAGATTGGGGGGGTGGAATAATTGACAGTTAATAGTACTTTTCTATTAAAACCTCAAAATACAAAGTGAACAAGCATAGATAGATTGTGGATGGCTCATATTCTTAGAGAAAACAAAGCTGAATACATAGCATCGTTATTAGTTAGACACTTTCTTCACCAAATATACTTGAAACAAATATAGTATAGGAGTTGATTCAGAAATTCATCCATAACTTTTCTTTATTGAATACATTCCTTTTGGATATTAATATCGATGAAGTAATAGACAAAGTATATTTTCGGAAGCGCCCTGCTTTTTACAAACAATCAAATCTAAGGTTCGATGTTCCCTATTTGTACAAGTAAGACTCACAATTAGTACTAGTTCTAATGAAGTGACAAATGAAAGATGAAGAAGCAGAAGCAACCAAAAAAAAAATCATTGTTTCTATTTACATTAACCCAAAAAACATTCTTCCAAAATGTGTATGATCCGGATCATTCATAATTTCAATAGTATATACAATTAAAGGTTGAAGGCATCCACCATAGCATCTAGATCCTATTCCCCAAAAGGAAACAATGGAGATGGGTTAGAACAAACAATATGTGACAGCTACAAAAGAAACACAGTGCAAATACATAAACACTTCATCAGGAGATAGAACAAGCAGCAGGAGCGATCCCACAGTAACCCACCTTAGTCAGATTCAAAAACAAGAGAGAGAGAGTGAGAAGAGAGAGAAAGACAACTACAGAGAGTGCGTTAACAAAACCAGTAAGACAAACTGCAACGAACCAATAGCAAACTCTAAGACCCAACTTCAATAAATGAAACCCCACATACCAAAACAGGAAAAAAAAACCTACCAAATATGAACAAATCCACTGTATCAAATGGAAATAAACAAACAAACACGAACAAATGCAGTGTACAGTTCAACAAACAACCCACAAAAGGAAAGATCACAATTTTCACAAAAAACCCACCACCCAAAACAACTCACTAAAACTTGCATAAGAGAACAAGGAGAAAGCAAAATGGCAAGTACTCACATGATACTAAAACCAGTGCAAGTAGGAACTTGCAATTGAAAAGCAACCCTCCTCTCATATTGGCCTTGCCAGTGGGCAATGGAGGAGAAGAGAGAGAAAGTGTGATATTTGCCCTGAACCTAATATGGGAAATGAAGCAGTGTGGTAGAGAGAGAAAGTTAGGAGATAGAGATGACAGAGAAGCCATGAATTGAATTGAATGCTTGGGGTCGTGGGGCCACAACAGCAGAGTAGCAAATAGTTAGCTGGCTTCAGGACCCATTTTTAATTTGTCGAATATAATTGTAATCTGAGCTCACATCACCATTAAGAAGACAACCTTCAAAACGAAATACAAGGAAAAAGCTCAGTGTGAATGGTGAAGTGTTATTAATGTTTCTCACATGGTGAATAGTTGGCGTGAAATGAGGAGGATACATGTTTCGTTTGGCTCGCTCGTAAACACAGGTGGATTCCCTCCGTTAAATTAACGCTGACCTACGGGTGGTAACGGATAGGGTCGGGTCTGGGCCTCCCCTGGACTCAAAAAGTGGTATAGGATCGGACCCAACTTCAAAATTAAAATACTTTTATATTTAAATAGAAAAAATCTTTAAAATATTATAGGATGAAAGTGAATGGTGTTTCGCCCGACAATAGCTCTCAGCACTATGAGAGCCATTGTGGTTTTGCCTGAAACGGTTCTCGTAAAGCAATTGTGGTTTCTTATGTTTTTCATGTGAAAATTCGACAACATGACCGCAACGGATATAGCATGTCCGGTGCGATCAATTTATTTCAAACGCACCAAGCCTATGGGTAAAAATGATAGTATTTTCGCCCATAGGCATTTAGATAGGGAGGAAGCTTTTTTGGTGATGCCTATGGTTGTTGTCATGTTAGAAGGTATGAGGGTTAGAGTTAAGGAGTCACCAGAGGATATCATTGATGCAATGCAAGCTTTACAGAGTCCGAAAAGGCCACAGCAAAAGAAGAAGGAAGTAGGGAAATATTCAATGTCTGATAGTGGTCCTTTGGATAAATCAGTCAGCTAAAGCACCCGGTCTACTGGGAGAGGGAAGAAAAGTAAAATGGAGTCCTCTGATAGTGGTCCTTTGGAAAAATCAGTAAGCTAAAGCACCAGGTCTACTGGGAGAGGGAAGAAAAGTAAAATGGAGTCCTCTGATTCGGCTGCATCTGTTAGCAAGTATGCTACCAGGAATAGTACAGCTATCTCCAAATGTTAAAAGGCATTTCTTGGAATACTAAAGATTTAGGCAAATCTTAAAAGGAAACCATAGCTATTTAATATTACAAAAGCAAAAAACCCTTATTTCATTTTGCTTCAGAAAACTAAGATTGCAAACCCTTGTCCTGTTAGATATGTATGGGGGAGTCGTCTTATACAATTTTGTTGTAAAAAATCTGATGGCGTTTCGGGTGGTCTTTGAAATATTTGGGATACCTCTATATGTCATCTTATCTGGTCTTCTATTGATGAATGATGTGTTTCTTGTATGTTTTTGTACATAATTGATGGTTCTCGTTTTTTTATTACAAATGTATATGGACCAAACTTGCCTGCATTTAAACATAGTTTTTGGAATGAGCTTTACTCCATAGGTCGGGATGCAAATATGCCTTGGCTTATTGGAGGTGTTTTTAATGCCATTAGGTGGCTTGATGAGTCTAGCATTGCTCATCGCTTTGACTCCAGTATGAGAGATTTTTCTAGCTTTATTTCAAATTTAGGGTTATTGGATATTCCAGCAGCTGAAGCAAAATATACATGGTCGAATAATTGTGTGTCCAATCTTATTATGACTAGGCTTGATCGTTTTTTAGTCAATGTTGGGTGGTTTGAATTACTTCCAAGGGAAGCTGCAAGGGCTATACCAAAACTTCATTCGGATTATATTCTTTTGATATGGGAAAATAAATCTTGTAAGATGAATGGCAGCTATTTTAAATTTGATATGGCTTGGATTAAAGAAATAGTTGTCAATGAATTGATTAAAGACCCTTGGTCTAGGAATAATACATTGGGTTGGAGTGGATTTATAGCTGTTAGGAAAGTATAAGGGGTGAAAAAAGAGTTGATTGAGAATTGTTGCAATTACAAGGTGAAAATCAGGGAGATTTTAGACAAAATAGCTGAAATTGATGTTATGGAATGGAAAACAAGTCAAATTGAAGAAGAGGACAGAGTTTTGAGATTTCATTTGGATAATGAATTGCATAAATGGATTAATGCAGAGGAGATGTATTGGAAACAAAGATTTTCAGTTAGATAGCTCAAAAAAAGGGATTTGAATACTAGATTATTCTTCCATGCCAATGCTAGTGCAATAAAAAGAATCAATAGTATTCAAAGTCTTAAGATTGATGGGGTTTTTGATGGGGATGAAATATGATTAGAACTTGCAATTATTCAGCACTTTCAAGGGACTTTTACTGCTGGTTATGTACCCGATACAAATTCCAGTTTTGTTCATTGTAGTAGAGTAGAAGAAGTTTGGAGTTTTTGGTTAGAAATACATTTTTTCTGAAATAGAAATTAAGGAAGTTGTCTTTAGCTTGCAAGGGATCGAGCTCCAGGACCCGATGGGTTTCCTTTGAGGTTCTTTCAACATTTTTTAGACCATGTGAAAAGGGCAGTTATTAATATGATGAGTGAATTTCATGAGAGCTGCACGGTTAATGTGAGCTTAAACTCTACTTTTATTGCTTTAATTCCTAAGAATGGAGCAATTGAAACCCTGAGTGACATTCGCCATATTAGTCTATTGACTAGTTTATGCATGATCATTGCAAAATGTTTCGTTGGTAGACTAAAAAAAGTTTTGTCCATGGTAGTTAAGGGGCCTCAGTCAACTTTCACAAAAGGGAGACAAATTACTGATAGTATTTTTTTTGGCCAATAAATTATTAGTTTAAAAGTTGCTGACAATGAGGCAAGTATTATATGTAAAATTGATTTTGAAAATGTTTATGATAAGGTGGAGTGGAAAATTCTATTATAAACAATGAAAGCTATGGGTTTTGATGAGAAATAGCTGAAATAGATTAAGGGGTGTTTGGAATCCACTCACTTCTCTATTTTGATAAATGGAAAACCAAAAGGATTCTTCAAGACTTCGTGTGGTATAAGACAAGGGGATCCCCTATCCCCTTTTTTATTCACTATTATGGCATAGATAGTTTATGTGATGTTGAATTCAGTAGTTGAAATGGGTCTATCGAAAGGTTTTTCAATTAAACATAATGGGACAGCAGTATCGCATTTACAACATGCTGACGATACTCTAATTTTTTGTGAGACTTGGGATTAAGATATTAGAAGATTGAAGAGATTTCTTTAAGTGTTTTGAGGCGATGACTGATCAAAAAGTAAACCTAAAGAAAACTCAAATCATTGGGGTAGCCTGTGAGGAAGAGAGGATAGCTAGCTGTGTCGAAATGGTAGGATGTGGGGTATGTTCTTTCCCAATTAGATTTTTGGGTCTTTCCCTTTCTGCTAATGGGAGACCAAATGCATTATGGGATCATCTAATCGAAAGTATACAATATGATTTGGATTCTTCGAAATTCAAGCTTTTATCTTTAAGGGGTAGATTGACTTTAGCAAATGCAGTACTTGCTAACCTGCCTATATATTATATGTATCTCTTTCAAATAGCTAATAAGGTGATTAAGAAATTGGAGCAGATTATGAAGAAATTCGTATGGGGGGGAGTGAAGGAAATAATGCTTTAATCTGGTGAAATGGGAAAAAGTTTGTACTCCTACTTGTGATGGAGGTATGGGGGTAAAGAGATTGAAATTCATGAATTGTGCATTATTGACAAAATGGTGGTGGAGATGTGAATCAGAAAAAGACCAACTATAGAGGTGTATTCTCTCGGAAAAATATGGTCAAGATCTAGAAAATGGTATTGTAGCAAAAGGGCTAAATAAAAAAGGTTAATCAATCATATAGAAAGGGATTGCATCTTATAGACAAATTTTCTCAAGTAATTCAAGAATGTTGTTGGAAAAGGAGATAAAATGTGTTTTTGGCAACAAAAATAACTTGGAGTTATGCCTTTCAAAATTCAGTTTCCTAATCTTTTTGCTAAAGTAACCGCAAAGAGGAAGATGATATATTAGACGGTAGAAGGGCTAGGTTTTGGAATATTAGATGTAACTATCAAAGAGTAAGTAATCAAGTTACAGATGAGTATATATGATGCATTGGATTGTTACAGCAATATTATTACTGCCCTCATAAGGAAGATAGTGTGGTGTGGGAACATAGTAATAGTAATAAATTCTCTGTTAAATCCGGTTATAATCTTTTCTTTTATGCCAAAATTAGATGGAAGGATTCTGACTGTGGAAAAATATGGAAATGGTCCATACCTCAAAAAATCAGATGTTTTATCTGGTTAGTGCATTTGAAAAATGTGTTAATAGTGGATATGTCAAGGAAGAGAGGGGAAAAAAATGCCAAATGTGTGTATTTTGTGCATAGAAGATGAGGAATCTGCATATCATATGTTCCTAAATTGTGGGTAATGCAAGATCAATTTGGGAGTGGGTACTTAATTGGCTGGATGTACAGAAGAATATCCCTTTACGGGTGAATCACATTATTAATCAATAGAAGATTGATGGTATAGGAAAGAAAGGAAATATTATTTAGAAAACAATGAAAGGAATAGGGGCATGGGAAATATGGATACAGAGAAATAGAAGTATTTTTGAGGATACAAGCAAAACAGAGTTAGAAGTTCAAGATGAGATCAGAGTATCAGTAGCCGAATGGTTGGCTGTTAGAGTTGGATGGTGGTGAGTGAGTAGAATAGATTTTATGTATAATTTACATATACTTCTTAAAGAAATGGGGTGGCTCAAATTAAATTTTGACGGTAGTTCAGCTGGGAATCCAAGGCTTGCTGGAATTGGTGGCCTAGTTAGAGATTGTGGAGGTAATGTTGTACTGTAATTTTGTGGATAGGTGGGGAGGAAAACTGCAAATGAAGCTGAAATGAGGGCTTTGCTTCAAGGTTTGAAGTTGGTAAAATTTTTTAACAAACATGTGATAGCTGAAGGGGATTCTCTTAATGTCATAAATTGGATGAAAAAAGAAAAAGATTATCCATGAAGATTAGAGGAAATGATTAGAGAAGCGGAAATAGTGTGTTTGGGAATGGAAGTTTCTTTTATGCAGGTGTATAGAGAAAGCAATATGGAGGCCGATCGTTTGGCTAAAGATGGAGTTGCAACCGAGTAAATTTCAATCATTAAAATGGATGTGATCTGAATGTTTTAGATTGTCTAACTTCTAATTCTATTTCCTGTTTTTGTTGTTGTTTGATGTAACTATTTAGTTTTATTT